ATTGCATGGAGCGGTGCAACCACCACTGCCACCGCTGTGGCGACACCGTCGTTCCGTTGGACGGGGGCTGTCTGGTGATCATGAAATATAGTGAGCGCACCAAGCCAGAACCCCAGTTTTCAAACCAAAACGCACGTTGATTGCGAACACAGCCACCGTGGATTCAATCAACGCGCTATTGCAGTGGAAGTGAACATATGGCGGTGAGCGCCATGCGGTGTAAGCTATGTGGTGAACGCTACGTGGTTTAAGCTGTTGGATCTGATCTATGGAAGCGGACCCTATCTGGTGTACGCTGTGTCGTGCAAGCTGGGCGCTGTGCTGTGTGCTGGAGGCAATCATTGTGAACTCTGTGATGCCGGCTGAGTGGTGCAGGCTGTGCCGTGCAAGCTCTGCTGTGTAGGCTGGTGCAAGCTATATGTCGTGCAAGCTAAGCTCGGGGCATGGGGCGCCCACGAGGCGGCGGCACGAGCGGCAGTGTGGCGCAGCCTCGGGCCGCCCACCCCGCGCACGGGGTGCCCACGAGGCGCCCACGAGGCGGCACGAGGCGGCAGCGTGGCGCCACCCGGGCATAGCCCCCCGAGCGCGGGGCCTTCGCGGCGCCACCTCGGCGTGCCCAGCAAGCGCGGGGCGCCCACCAGGCGCCCACGAGGCGCCCACGAGGCGGCAGCTCGGCGACATCCCGGAGCACCCGTCCTGTTCATGCAGGGAAGTGAATGAGAATTCCTGGTGCAAGCGCTGTTTTGGGAGCTGGTTGAAAGGCAGCTCGGACCCGTCCTGTGAGTACAAGCGCAGCATGGTGAGGTCGCTTACTCAAGCCAGCACAGCTTCAGGGGGGAGAAAACGTAAGACGCATGCCGTGCAACTGTGGGGGAGGATGAGGCTGAAGGTGGGCGACGGGAGAAGGAGAAGGAGAAGAAGGAGGGTGATGAGGAGGATCAGGAGGCGGAGGAGGAGAAGGAAAAGGAGGAAGGCGAGCAGGATGAATTGCAGGAGTCTCTCTCTCCCACTCCGTATACATAGCTAGAGAGATAGGTATATATATACATACATATATATGTAAAGAGAGAGAGAGAAGGATAAAGAGAGATAGATAGATAAACACACATATATATGTATAAAAGATAGAGACGAGAGAGAGAGAGAGAGCAAGAGAGAGAGAGAGAGAGAGAAAGAGGGAGAGAGATAATCAACAAAAAACGAGAGAGAGAGACACACATCGAGAGGCGCATCAGCATGGGCAGCTGGGGGGCGGCAGCGGCAGCACGGTCCAGAGCGAGAGGTGGAGGACCCGGAGGCGGAGCGCGAGCGGTCGGGGCGTCCGCCCTCGGCCTGCCCCCCCCCGGGCCCCCCCCCTTGCCACAGAGGATCGAGGCCCCCCCCCAGCCCCCCACCCCCCCCTATCCAGGGCTCGTTTCGATTCCTCCTGTTCGATTCGATGCGATTTCGATCGCGTCCGATTCCGATTCGATTCGATCTGGGACTCCGATTTCTCATTGAAGGCATACTGGCCTGCAGATTTCTGCCGATTCGACTTGTCCCGACTCGGCTGCCGATCTCCGCCGATCTGTTTCATTTCGATCGCCGATCCGACTTATCGATTCGAATCTGGGCTCTCCTGCCCCTCTCCCTTCGTCTGGTCGGCGCGAGTGGCCCCCTCATTCGGCTTCGCGCGTCCTGTGCTCGCTTGGCAGCATGTTCAGGAGGGTGGAGGTGGAGGTGGATGTGCGAAGCCTGCTGGGTGGGTGGACGAGGCGAGCAGGAGGGGTCTGCCTGCCGTGCGCTCGGCGAAGGCTGCTCACGGAAGCAGAGGTCGGAATCCAAAAGAAGGAGCAGGTGCACAGGAAGACTGTGGTGGGCGATGGTCGTAATGGTGGTGGTGGTGGTAATGGTGATGACGATGGCGATTAGGATGTTGGTGTTGTGATTGATGATGTGGTTGGTGATGGTGATACGTTGCTACAATACTACGGGGGAGGATGCTCAACGTTCGCTCTGCTGTCCGCAAGTCCTGACATCTTCGCTGCGGACTGTCAGCGCGAGTGACAAAGGCTGGGGTATACAGGAGAGGGTTCCATGCCTTTACCAGGTACATTCGAATTCTTGCGCAACGCCCTCCTGCTTGGAACGTGGGATGGTGGGGGATGCTATGAATTCGGCTGCCGCGTTGAGCGGCTGCAGGACTATCAGATTATACTAGGTGCTTGCGCTATTCAACCGCCCTCGAATGAACGGGTCTGAATACACTTTTGCTCAGACGGGCGGTCGAGGGTTTTGTGTGTCTGGGGGTGGTCCTAGGGTAGTCTTATGTCGTCGCTGTGCGAGTTGGAAACGCCCTTTCATCTTGGCCTCTTGGGGCTCTGTTGGGGCCGTGCTGGCAACCTCAAGCGCTACATAATGCTCTTGGCCCTCTCTCGGAGCCCCCTTGGGCTACTACATGGGGCTCTCTTCGGGTCTATTGGGGCTCTCTTGGAGATCTCTTAAGCCCTCCTGGTGCTCTCTTGCCAATTTCTCGGGGTCCTGTGGGTCTCTTCTGTGGGCTTCTTTGGAGCTCTCCTTCGGGTCCCGTGAGGCTTCCTGGGGGCCTCCAAGATGCCCCTCGGTCCCTAGGGAGGAGGAGGCGGAGGAGGAGGAGGAGAAGTATTCCTCGGGGGCTGACTGGTCGGGAGGGGGGGAGAAAGCGCATCGATGTCACGCACACCGCCGTGGGGGCTCCCGGTGCCATTGTCGGCGTGCTACTTCTTCGTGATTCGTCCGAACAAGACAACGCACATCGACAGTAACACGCCGATGGGGCCCGGGCCCCCCCCGCGGCGCCTCCTCATCCTCCTCCTCCTGCTTCTCCTCCTCCTCCTCCTCGTCCTCTTCCTCCCTCCTCCTCCTCTTCCTCCTCCTCCTCCTCCTCCTCCTCCTCCTTCTCTCCTCCCCCCTCCTCCTCCTCCTCCTCCTCCTCCTCCTCCTCCTCCTCCTCCTCCTCCTCCTCCCCCTCCTCCTCCTTCTCTTCTCCGTAGCCATTTTGGCTCAAGTAAACCATTTCTCGAGGTGGTTTGCAGAGACCAGGAGCCTGCCCAGCAGGCTCGGCCCGCGCATCGGGGGCCTGCTGGGCAAGGCAGGCGCCCTCACATTTTGTATACGCTCCGAGGAGCTCCTGTATCGTACTGGTTGGGCAGGAGATCAGTTCTTCAGGGGCGCATGGGGCGCAATGAGAAGGATGATCAGCGGACTGGAAGCCAGTACGAAAAGTGCAGGGGATGTGGGTATAAGTGGAACTGGGGCAACAGGTCTGAGTGCTACAAGTGCCAGAGGGGGATGCAGCCAGCCACCTCTCAAGAGCGAGCCTCGCAGGGCACCTGGGGCCCCAGCGCCTCTTCGCGGGGCCGCAGTCGCCCATCGGCCAAGCAGAACCGCGAGGAGCTCCTCAAGCAGCTGCGGGCCACCATCCCCGACGGCGACGCAGAGGCCGCCCAGCACCTCGAGGCGCTCGCCCGAGTGCACACTCCAGAGGTGCACCCAGACGTTGCCCTCAACCAGGCCCAGGCGCGGCTCCGCAGGGCCGAGGCAGGGCTCAAGAGGACCATCGACAACATCTCCGAGGGCGAGCGATTTCTGCAGGACCAGAAGGAGCTGCGGGAGAACTGGATCCTCGAGATCGCCGACGCGGAGGCGGGGGTCCAGGAGGCCTACGCCAGAGCGGCGCCCAAGGCCGTCGCGCCAGCCGAGGCGCCCACGCCAGCCCTGGACCTCTCGCAGCTGCTCGAGGGCGACCTGGACCTCCTCAGCGTGCGGCCGGGCAAGGCCTTCGACCTCGAGGGGTTCGACATCCCGCCAGAGGAGCACCGCCAGTTCCAGGAGCAGATGGGCCAATTCGTCAAGCAGGTCCAGACGGAGGTCAAGAGGCACTTCGGCCCAACGGCGGAGGGGCTCGCCGCAATGCGAGAGGACCTCCAGACCTTCAGCGACAGGCTCAGGAGCAAGAGGGCTCGGTCGGGCCCCCCCCCCGCCAGAGGCCGCCGCAGCTCCCGCCGCAGCGGCGCCAGCAAGCAAGGCAGCAGGCAAAGGTGGCGCAGACTACAAGCAGCCAGGGGCGGCCGCGGCCAAGGCAGCCCCCACAGCGGGGCCTAACACCCCCCCTGCTGGCGCTGACGGTGCTCGTGGCGCTGCTGCAGCCAGCGGAGGCGGCGCGGCAGGCGCCACTGCTCCTGCGGGAGCCACGGGCAGGGCTCCCAAGCGCGAGTTGGCACAGGGAACCCGAGCCAGGATCCTGGAGCGGGCTGCAGCAAAACCCCGAGGGGCGGACACAGACTCCAGCGACTGAGGGACCAGCGTCGCAAGGCTGGCGACGGTGGCGCCAGCGCC